CCAGAGAAGCTTCATCTCTAATTTGTGTGTTTGCTACAGGAAATTTTTACAATGAATGAGAATGACAAAACACATCCCTTCAACAGTTTCTCAAAAGGCTTCAAATGGCCTGAGGTCTCCCCTGTGGGTCTCCTCAGAGACAATTGTGAAACCCTTAAGCCCTTTTGGGGCTCCCCATGGCCAAGATTGGGACAACTTGAGCAACAAAATAAACACAGATATTAATTGATTATAACCCATAAAATACAATAAATATCCGAGTCCATATTGATGTAAATAAATAATTGAATAACTAATAAATGAGAGAGAAGGACTGATCTTCTTTACAATTTAAAAATGTAGAAGAAATCATAGAAACAGAAAAATCATTCTTTGCCAAACACCACTGTTGTAACACCAATAGTTGTTACAGGTGTCATCAATGGCTTCTAGAATTAGTGGGTGAAGATATAAGGAGAAACAGATATTTGTACAGTTTTAAAATACAGTCTACTCAAGATATCCCTAATTATAAGGGGAAAATAGTAACTTTATTGAGTAGCAACCTGGCAAATGTCCCTCTAGCCAAGTGATCAAGGTTGACATCAGCATAAGACATATAGATATCATGTAACCCTGGTAATGCACTAAGATGGTTTACTTCTGTGGTGTTCTTACCAAAAATGTATAGCCTAAGTGAATCATGAGAGTAAATCAGACAGATTTTTAGAGACATTCTACAAAATAACTGGCCTGTACTCTTCATAAAAGACTGGGTGTTCCCAACTGAAGAGACTAAGAGATGTGACAACAACTGTGATGTGGGATGCGGGACTGGGTCCTGGACCAGAGGAAAAGGGACATTAATAGAACAACTGGTGAGATTCAAATATCTGTAAGTTAGTTTTGTTGTACTAATGTTAATTTTCTGACTATGGTCATATAAAGAGATACAATTAAGAGAAACTGAGTATAGTATTTTTGCAACTTTCTTTTGTAAGTCTAAAACTGTTTCAAAATAAAAAGTTAGAAAAGAAAGAGCTCTTCTGAATTCTATGAAAAAATTCTTTTACTTTTAGATAAATGCAATGAAATAAGACAGAAATCATGCAGAAGATAAAAATTTGATACATGACAATATTTTGTAGCATACATTAGGTATGTAATTCATAATAAGCTAAATATAGTCTTTAGGTCCATTTTAATTAAAAGCTGGACATTGAACATCCTAATATTGATTAGGAATTTAACACCTTAATATAACTTTAAAACTGTGGAAAAGTAATTTTCAACTTAGGTAATTTTCACTTATGACACCTTTTCTAGAAAAGGAATCCTCCACAAAAATGAGAATGGTCCACAAACTAATCATAGTTATCAGAGACTAAATAGATTGATAGAATCTGACTTTCAGGGGGTGTTCTTTCTAATTACAAATTATCATTGATTTAAATGGATAAATTCAATTTACAGCTAAAATGTGGCCATTGTACTGAAGGGTTTTTTGGCATATATCGTTATTCAAGAGTGCAGTGATGGAAAATAACAGAGAAGAAAGACGAGGCCTAATTCAGTTCTAGATTCTGAGAATAACTTTTAATCCTATAGTCTCAGAATTGACAGGGATATTTTTGGGGCAAATTCATTACCTGAAAAAACACTTTTATTTACTCAGAAGGCTGTATTAGAGAACCAAGGAAGATGTATGAGAACACGCTTGACTCTCCAAAAGGAAATGAATTTGGGTACAGGTGCAATTCCTATTCAATTTGGGTGATGAGTGTATTCTCACCTTTTATGCTGTAGAATATCAATCTATTGATTTTGGAAAGCACAGAGACCAGTACTGTGGAATAGGAATGGAAATAGTGCGATATTTAGTGTGACTGTCAGTGTACATAGAGGTGTATGTCACTTGCAGAGACTCAGGTGAATATGAGGATTTTGTAAAAATATAGATTAATTATCTTTGGCAGTCCTAAAGATGGGTAGAAGCTAACATTTATACAATGCTTGCTATGTGGTAGGCTCTGTGCTACACACTTTCCACATTAACTCATGCAGTCATCACAATAATCCTGCAGGGTAAGCACAATTAATTCCTGCTTTGCAGATAAGGAAACTGAGGCTCAGCAGTAACCTAACTTGCCTACTGGGTAAATCTGGCAGTCTAGTTACAGACTATTAACCTCTCCACTGTGTAGTTCAGGATTTGCCTCCTTGGTGTATTACTTTTCTGGCCACATGTTCTCAATTTTCTGTTGGTTCTGGATAGATATAGTAAGTACAGTAAATATTCTATAAGCTCTTTGTATAAATTAAATCATTTAATTCCAATGAGTTTCAATGTCTCCATTTTGCAAACTGAGGTTATGTAAACAGAGAGCTAATGATTTAGTCAGGATGGGAGTCAGCATTGGAGAGGTGCTGAGCTGGAGCACCTATTCTTCACTGTGCCCTGTGCTAATTTGGAGGATACAACAGATTGCTGTTCCCACCTCACCCCTAAATCTGTTCTCCCCTTCTTCCATATCATGGATTTTAGGTGAATACAAGGCTACTTGGACTTCATTTACCAGATGCCCTTGAAGCTAGATTTGGCCACAAAACAGCTCTAGCCAATGGTGTCTAAAAAGAAGGAACATCTGTAACTTCAGTCAAAGAATTGCTTACCCTGGACTTTTCTTTTTCCTGTAGGGAGAGCAGAGCTGGCAAGCTTGAACTGGCCAGGCTGTAACAACCCAAGTTCTTCTCATCAAGGATAAACTCACAGTCCTTAAATACTGACCTCCCTTACATTCTATTGTCAGGAACAGCCTTGCCACACTTGTGCACCATCATCATTAGCACATGAGGTTAATGATTCAGGACCTAGCCTGTTATTTATTTTAGCTTTGTAACTATCATATTGATTTACTTGTTATTCCACTCTAAGTTTCATTTCTAAGCAAGTGTCATTTATTATTTATAGGTCAGGAAAATAGTTGACATTCAGTCTCCTATCTGGGGTGAAGCTAATGAATTGTAAGATTGGTTCATGGTGAATAAATTAGTTTTGAAACCATGGAATTTAGAAGTTTGATATTTTCTTTCTTTAAATCCCACATTGCTACCTGTAACTCCCTGTGGTTTGCCTTTTAAGTTTATAGATCATATGAAGTAAGCTCTTTGCATTCTTATCTCCACCCTCTTCTTTTCTGTTCTCTCTTCAAGTAAAGTGGTAACTTATTAAATACTTAATACAGTCCAAAGAATTATGTGAAACTTATTTTCTCTGGTGGTAGTAACAACAGATTCCTTCTGATCAAGGAAAAGTCACAGGTCCTTAAACAATTTCTCCCTCCCACGACAAATGAAATATTCTGACAACAGAAATGTCTCCTTCCTTCTGACCATATTATTCTGAGGAAGTGGGTTATGATACTGAGCCAGGAAAAATTAAAATTCTGAGTGAGGAGAGTTAGGAGTGATGGATGAATAGCCTTGAGTTTTTAAAAATTAAGGTTAGGAGAAACTAAATATTATGAACAATATTTTGAAACCTAACTAGCAATCCAAAGGATAAATAAGAAAGGGATAAGACTCTGAAATGTGTGGCTTAACAAATGGAAAAGTCAGTAAGAGCAGGTAGTCCAGTGTTCTAGAACCTACTGCCATAGGCCTCTCCATCCATATAGTCTTTCTCTTCTTTCCTCCCTTCTCTGGCTTTCTTGCCTGTTTTTCTTTCACACCTGTTTTTTTCCTGATACCATCCTCAACTATTTATATATCTTTCTGACACCTTAAGATGGCTACTACATGGAACAGGAGAATCTAAAATACATACATTGATTCACAAAATTTTAAGCACTAAATGTCAATGTTTGTGTTAAGTCCTGGATGTTCAAAGATGAACAAAATGTACATCCTGACCTCAAATAGCTAACAGTCTGTTTGGTAAGATGCTTCTCCTTTTTGAAAATTTGAAGGGCGGAAAAGATAATTTTGCCAGGAAGAAATAAGGGAACATATCCCCAAAAAGGCGACACCTCGGTTTGAGTCTTAAAAGATAAGTAGGAGGATCATAGGAAGATGGCAGTGTGAGTAGTTCAGTGGAAATCTTATTCCCAAAACATATGTATTTATGAAACTACAATAAATACAACTATTCCTAAAAGAGACACCAGTGGATGTAGTACAACAGCCAGGATACATCTACATCTGTGAGAACTCAACCACACACAAAGGGGATAAGATACAAGCTGCGGCCAGGTGGAACCCAAACACTCCCCCACCCCAGAACCCAGTGGGAAGAAAGGAGTTGGAACGGGGAGGGAGTGAAAGCCCAGGACTGCTAAACAACCAGCTCTAGAAATCCACAACTGGAGTGCAGACACAAGGTGCATGGGGTGCTGGATATTAGAGAAACTGAAAAGCAAAACCTGTGGGCAGGTCCCTGCAACCGGCGCCCTTGAGAGAAAAGCAAAACAAGTGCTTTCTGCAAGTCTTAAAGAGACAGGGACCCCACAGCTGGACGAAGTCGCCCCGGCACACTTAGCCAGCAGCTGGGAATCCCGGGGAACTTTAGGCACCCTAAACCCCAGGGCAGAAGCACAGCTCTGAAGCCCCTCACGGCACTAAGAAGCCTGCCAGTCATTCCTCCAACTGGCACTGACCCCGACACACCAGCCCAGTAGTGGGAAAGTGGCAGTGCGCGCGGGGGTGGCGGCGCCAGAGGAGACCGGGATCCCATGTGCTGGCAGTGCCAGAGGGGACCAGGAGGGGCTCGTGTGAGCCCGCCACGGTGGCGACCGAACAGCCCAGTGTTGCTCCTCAGCAACAAGAAGGTGGGGGGTGGGGGGTACAAGCAGGACCAGCCTGTTATCCCTGGGGGCTGAGCGAGAGGGCAAGTGTCGACGGCTCAGTCACCCTCCCCAGAGACCTGGGGAAAACAAAACCACACCAAGCCGGGAGATGGGTCAGCCTTGGAGGCACAGCAAAACTCAGCTTTATTGCATCAGAGGCTTAGTTATATAGGGGAAGATAAGGAAGTAACGGAAACCAATGGGAATTAATTATCTCATCTGTCACTAGGGTCTTAGGCAGGTTTTAGGTTAGGTGGTGGGGCGGAGTTAGGGCCAAGAGCGCATGCCTGGAACTCAGTTGGGCCACAAATGCAGAAGTAATGAGGGAGGGTGGAAACCTCCAGCCTGCGGCCGCCTCATAGTCACAAGCCCAAAAGAGGCAAAAGGTCCCAACAATTCCCCTTTTTGTTTTATAAATGCTCTGGGATGTCCCGGTGGGCAAGGCCCCTGTCTTAGGTTGTCCCCCTCTGGGGATCTTACCCATCACTGGGTACCTTGCAGCTCCTCGGTTGTCCCAAGTTTACTAATCCTCCGGGGCCTGTCTTAGGTTGTCTCCACTTTGGAGATCTTACCTGTCCTTGGCACACGGGGAGATAGTTAGGGGGAATCAATGGGCACGGTCTCATCTTAAGGCTCACAGCGACTGCAGGGGTCACTGGCTTCTGTGGCAAGCCTCTGGTATTGTACTTGCACTTTCATCAACTGAATTGATTCAATTCTTTTTTGGACAAACTGGATAATCTTGTTAACAAGGCAGGGCTCAAAAGTGAAAAGTAGGAGCAAAAGAAGGATAGGACCAAGGAGGGGCAGAAAATAGGGTAACCACCTATGTAACTCAGTCTAAAGAAAATTGGCTTGTAATTCTTGTCTGCGTCTCTCGAGGTCTTCTTAAAGTTGTTTGACCTTATTTTGGACTATGCTGGAGTGGTTCACATAGAAGCAGCATTCTTCCTATAAAAAGAGACATAAGCCTCCCTTTTCAGCAGTGAGGAGGTCAAGCCCCCTATGGTTCTGTAGGACTACTGCTGCAAGGGAATCTAATTGTGCTTGAAGGTCAAGAATTGTGCTGGCTACAGCTTGTATGTCATCAATCATCTGTTGAGAAAGGGCTTTATAATAATGCAGAGAGGTCCCCAATCCTGCTGCCCCTGTGACAGCCCTGGTGGCCACCCCAAGGCCCAGAAGCAGGGGGATAAACTGAATGGCCCTTTTTGATCTACCTCCAATGTGCTCTAAAGCAGGAATAGGGAGGGTCTGATTATTAGGGACCACTCCAATGTCAGGGAAAATTACAGCTGGAGCACAAAGTCCCATCCAGCCTGTCGGGAGAAAGCCAAATGCATCTTCCCTGTAAATGAAGACTGTTCCATTAGGGGGACAGAGAAAGGTATTATTCACAGTAATATTTTGTTGACAAAAAGAATAGTGGATTCGGCCCACATCTGTCTCACTAGTATTATCAGAACTGGGGTCAGCTTTGAAGCATGGGCCTTTAGGGGAAAGAGGGTCTAGATAGACTCTAGAACTTGGGGGTAACAGCTGGCACTGGGGCTCGGCCTGTGAAAGGTTAACAAGAAGAGCATTGGCCCACAATGGTCCCGGCTTCAGGCACAGCCAGCAATCCTTCACTAAATCAGGATTGGTTCTATTGAATAAGGTAAAAGCAGCCTGTATGATTGATTGTGTTTCAGGATCAAGAAGCAATTCTCCCCTGATCTCCGGGAAGCTAAGAGGGTGGTAAATCGGGGGATTTTGGTCTTCAATCAGCCTGTCTAACAGATTTTTAATTTTGTGCTGTCGAGCGTGATCTTGAACTCCACCCCCATCAGAGATGCCTATAGGGGCATATGTATTCCAACAGACTTGCTGTCCCCTATTCTTTCGACTGTCAGCGTATTCAGCCTTGCCTTTTGTCAGAATTGCATACCGGTATGTTTTGTTACAGTGAGTACAGGGGCAAACTTCCTGATAGCATGTAGCATGAATGGAGGCTTGAAAAGTGGTGCAAGGACAATTAGAGGGGGGGGTTTCCCTGGGGCAGGTGAGGATACTTTGGGGCCTTGCCAACATTTGTGATCGAGAACCCTTCCAGGGCATCCATTTTCTCTCCCTTTCGTAAGAGTAGCTGCCTATTGCCCATTAGGGCAGGTTTTGGTAGAAGTATAACAGGTTACGGGGGGAGGGGTCTTGGTGAAAGCACAGGCCATGCAGGGGTCTCTGATGGTCTTTCGTAGTATGGCCCTTGCTTGACCGAGATCTCCAAATCCTGTCTTAGCTAATGGGAGATTCATCGCTATTAACAGGAAGACCAGCATCATTGGGTTCATTGTGGACTCTGAAAGAGAGAGAGAAGAGAGATATCCTCAGGAGGCGAGGGGCCTTCTGGGTCATCACTGACATTAGTGAACTCCCCCTCCATAGGGGGGTAATACTTGAGATCTCTTGCAGGGACTCAGATCAGCCTTTTTTCATTGGTTGGAAAGACGCAGCTGAATCCCCTTCCAGCTGTAATGAGGGGGTCTGGGCCTCTCCATTCTCCAGTAAGGGGGTCCTTCCATCAAACTCTAATTGTCCGATAAGTAACTGTTGTTGTCCAATGCTTTTGAAAAGGTGAGAAGTGTTAGCCTTTGGCAAACTTTAAAATACTCAGAGTAATGCCATCTTTAGTTGATCATGGGGGAGGAGTGTTCCCCCTTTTTGTTTTATTAATTGACTTTTGAGGATATGATAGTGTTTTTCTACGATTGCTTGTCCTTTAGGGTTATAAGGAATTCCAGTGGTATGAGAAATTTGCCATTTACTCAAGGATTCAGTAAAAGACCTACTGACAAAGCAGGGACCATTATCGGTTTTGATTTGATCTGGCAAGCCAAGAACGGTAAAGCACTGGAGAAAATGGCTTATGGCATGTTTGGACTTTTCTCTCGTATGGACTGTAGCCCAACAAGCATGGGAGAAGGTATCAACTGTTAGAAATATGTACCTAAGCTTCCCAAAAGGGGCAAAATGTGTGACATCAGTCTGCCAAAGGTTATTGGGCCTCAGGCCTCAAGGGTTCACTCTGCCCTTTTGAAGCAAAGGAACCTGTAGAAAGGGCTGGCATGATTTACATGTTCTAATGATCTTTTTTAAGTCTCTGACAGGGACTTGAAGGAACTGATGGTGTAGTCCCCTCCAATTAGTGTGTCTAAGTTGATGAAAAGAGGTGGCCTGCTGTACCGTGTAGGCTGAAGCTAGTCGGTCTGCAAGAGCATTGCCCCTCGACAAAAGGCTTGGCAAGTCCTGATGTCCTCTTAAATGTTGTACAAAAAGGGGAAATAGTCTCTGTTTTAACAAATGGCAGGCTTGAATCATTAAAGGAGTGATGGGATTATTGTCAAGTCTGATGTGTGCACCCACAAGGTTGGGCAGTAGATTGACAATGTAAAGGCTATCAGAAAATAGATTAAGAGGGCTTTGGATCTCAGATAGAGCTAAAACAACAGCATAAAGTTCTTTAAAAATGGGCGGAGCCCTGCACTTCATGAAAGAGGGTTACAGCCGGAGGGCATTCACTTGTGCCCCGGGGGGAACATTACCACAGAGGCTCCCTGCTTACCCCCGTCAGTAAAAACAGAGGGGAAAGAGGGGTCTGCCTCAGAGAGGAACATTTTAGGTGGCTGCCACGCCAACTGGCTAAAAGAACTCATCCACTTATAGGGACCATAGTGACAGTCCACTATCCCCGGAAAGCTTTCCATGGCCATTGCCAATCTGGAATTATTTCTCTGTAGCCACGAGAAATCATTGACCTAAAAAGGGATGATCAAAGAGTGGGGTTTACACCCAAAAAGACGGACAGAAAGATCTTGTCCCTTGACAATACAGTTGGCCATTTGATCCACTATAGAGTACACTCGGGGTGCCCCTCCCACAGATAGATGCATCCAATGTACGGTATCTCCCTCCTGAGCTAAAAGGGCAGTGAGGAGGGTCTCTCCCACCATAATAGAGGGTTAGTGGCAAGTTTGGATTACATCTTTTTAAAGCAGCGTTATCAATGGCATGTTGAACTTTTGTCAATGTCTCTCTATGCATAGGGGTTAAAGTCACTGTTGAAGCTAGGTTAAGGCCTTTTAATAGGTTGAAAAGAGGGATAAGATCAGCTGTGGTTATAGGAATCTAGGGCCTCATCCAGTTGATTTCCCCCAGCAGTTTCTGGAGCTGTGGTAGTGTATACGCATCCTGAATACATAACTGGGGCTTAACAGGGGAGACAACATCTAATGTTAAAGTAGTCCCCAAAATTTTAAAAGGAGCTATCTGTTGAACTTTATCTGGGGCAATTTGAAAGTTGTAGTTTTTGAGCAGGGAAAGGCACCTTTTAAGGAGGTCATCTAATTTGTGGGAACAAGTGGCCCCCAAGATAATATCATCCATATATATGTAAAAGAGTATGTCAGATTCCTCTCAGCTTGTTGCTGGCATTCCTCTTTATACAAAGCACACCACTTAATATAAAGGGGCCAGGGAGAACCTCCCAGGCAGGAGCCCTCCATTCTGCAGTGGTACACAGATGGTGAGCAAGTCCCTGGAAGATGGTCTCAGTCCAAGGAGCATTGGGGCCATCCTCAAGAATGGCCTTCTTTAACTCCTTAAGGTCACCTGGCTCCCAAGGGTACCAGGGGGCAGGGCGGTTACCTCCAGGATTAACATTGACAGGAAATAGCTGACATGGCCCTAGGTCTGGTTGTGGGTGGAGCCCTGGATTCTCTTGAGGTTGACAACTAATAGGAGAGCCTAAGTCCTTATATGGGAGAGGAGCTGAAACTCCTGCCCATTGGTATGGGGGAGGGAGGGCTGATGGTGATTTGAAAAGGTTAGAAGGGGAACTAACACCAGGAAGTGGAGGATATAAGGGAGTCGTGGATTTTGGGGGCCAGAGAGCGGCATCAAATGGGTCGGTGGTGTGGCCGCTTTGATCCTTCTCAGGCTCTTTATTACTCTCCTGGCCTGAAGGGGTGGTTTCCGGTGGGGGAAGAGGACCCAATTTTCCCCGAGAGGGGGCCCTTGCTCCAGTGGCCTCCTTATCTCCTGAATCCTTAGCGGGTGGTTTGGGAGGCCAGGGAGGAAAGCAACTCTTCAAGGCTGCCAAAGTGGGGAAAGTCCCTAGAGGGGGGATCTCACCCCTGTTAACCTGGGCCTTGAGCACAAGATGCTCTACCCAATCCCAAGTCTCCCAGTCAAACAAATTACTCTCTGGTAACCATGGGGTGACCTTAACTAAAATCTTCCAGGTCTTGATAGCCTGACTATCAGAAAGCTGTAAGCCCCTGCTTTTGAGAAGGACCCTAAGGGACTCAAGGGAAGGATCAGGCTTTGACGAAGTTTGTCCCATAGTTTATGGGAATACACTTACCAGTGGTCCAATTAGCTCATCAGCAAAGCATTCCTCACACGGGGCACCAGTTGTTGCTCCTCAGCAACAAGAAGGCAGGGGCAGGGACAAGCAGGACCAGCTTGTTATCCCCAGGGGCTGAGCGAGAGGGCAAGTGTCAACGGCTTGGTCACCCTCCCCAGAGATCTGGGGAAAACAAAACCACACCAAGCTGGGAGATGTGTCAGCTTTGGAGGTGCAGCAAAACACAGCTTTATTGCATCAGAGGCTTAGTTATATAGGGGAAGATAAGGAAGTAACAGAAACCAATGGGAATTGATTATCTTATCTGTCACTAGGGTCTTAGGCAGGTTTTAGGTTAGGTGGGGAGGCGGAGTTAGGGCTAAGAGAGCACGCCAGGAATTCAGTTGGGCCACAAATGCAGAAGTAATGAGGGAGGGTGGAAGCCTCCAGTGTGCAGCCGCCTCATAGTCACAAACCCAAAAGAGGCAAAAGGTCCCAACAGCCCAGGTGCAGCACACGTGTGCCAGCAACAGTGGCACCAGACAAGCTCAGGAGAGGTGTGTGCAGGAGAGGCCCACATATACCTGCAGTGGTGCCAGAGGGAGCAGCCACGCTCCCAGCAGCCAACCAGAATCCCAGCCTGCTGCACAGACACCCGGGCCAGACTCAAAGGCCGCTGTTGGCACACAGCTGCCTGACAGGGGCACTGCTATTGTGCAGGAGCACACCTGACATGCCTGCCACTCCTGCAGGGCTCCGTGCTGCTCTGACGGACACCCACCCACAGAAGATTAGGGAATTAACCTGGTGGCTGCTCCAGGAGTGCGGGTAACTGACACAGGCAGCGGGGAAGGGTAAGGCATCCAGAAAGCAGGAAAGGACTTTCTTCTCCCAGCTTCCACACCCACAAGCTGCCTACAGCCACTGCTATCATCATGAAAAGGCAAAAAAAACTTAGTCTATTCCAAGATAGTTCAGACAAAACCTGAGAGAGAATCTTCAGAGACAGACCTAACCAGTCTCCCTGAAAAATAATTGAAAATAAAAATCATAAACATGCTGACAGAGCTGCAGAGAAATATACAAGAGCTAAGGGATGACATCAGGAGGGAGATTACATAAGTGAAACAATCTCTGGAATGATTTATAAGCAGAATGGATAAGATGCAAGAGGCCATTGAAGGAATAGAAATGAGAGAACAGGAACACATAGAAGCTGATGCAGAGAGAGATAAAAGGATCTCCAGGAATGAAACAATATTAAGAGAACTGTGTGACCAATCCAAAAGGAACAATATCCACATTATAGGTGTACCAGAAAAAAAAGAGAGAGAAAAAGGGATAGAAAGTGTCTTTGAAGAAATAATTGCTGAGAACTTCCCCAAACTGGGGGAGGAAATAGTTGCTCAGACTACAGAAGTACACAGAAATCCCAACAGAAGGGACCCAAAGAGGACAACACCAATACACATAATAATTAAAATGGCAAAGATCAAGGACAAGGACAGAGTATTAAAGGCAGCCAGAGAGAGAAAAAAGGTCACCTACAAAGGAAAACCCATCAGGCTATCAACAGACTTCTCAACAGAAACCTTAAAGGCCAGAAGAGAATGG